TTCTCATATGCACCCAAATATAAATGATAATTTGAACCTCTTGTGTAGCTATAACATAGCCTAGAGCAAAAACAATATCCACATAATAGGAAAGCCTCTTAACCACCACATGCGTATGATAAGAACACCTATGAACAACAAAATTCATGTAACAATTAAAATCCAATGCGTGAAGTTCAAGGCATCTTAAAGAAAACAAGTCATCAAGAATAACAAGATTTAGGCCATCAGAATGAGCTTCAATATTGTTTGAATGACACAAGAATCCATCAGATGGCTCTTTAGGAAACAAATTAAATACCTGCAACATAGTAGAAACACAAGGCAAAGAATGATTAAGATTGGTAGTAATTAAAGAAATATCCTTGCAATCACTCTTAACCTCATTTTTCTCACAATTCTTTTCATGTTCTTTCCACTCAAATCAACACTTTCATTTTTACTCTCATTATTTTCACAACACTCAATGCTCTCTATTGCACTTGTTTCTTTGCTCAAACTCTCTTCTTTTTCATAATTATTCAAACTAATAGAGTTATTGTCATTTGAATTAGATAAGGAGATGACATCTTTCTCTTAGTTATTCTCCTTTGAAGAGGAGCGTTTTCTTTCTGAATGCTTCTTTCTCTTGAGTTCTTGCTTATGCTAGCCAAGTAGAGAAACAAAATCATTAATCTCCATGAAACTGCACATTTCTGCAACACGAGCTAATCTAGGACTAAGCCCACATATAAATGATCCATAGTGGCTTCTGGAGTCTCTTTCACACCAGCTTTAATCATAGTTAACTCTATCTCATGGTAATAATCCTTAACATTCATGGAGCCTTGTTTTAATTCCTGTAATCTTCTATGTAATTCTCCCTTAGATTTGGAGTTGCAACTATACTTCAAATGGTCTAGTTCAGCATTTAGCTTTTGCACTTCTTTTAAGAAGGACTTGAGATCTTCCCTAAGTTCTTTGTGACCATAAATTTTTTGGTGCTTGAAAGATTAGAAATAGAGAGAAAATAGACCTCACTACTCTACTCACATGTATCACTCAAAATAATTTATACCACTTGTGTTTCACTCAAATTTGGCTTTTAAATTGATGTCGTGTAACACTCTTGCCTCTTACCACTCAAGCTTGCCTCCTATAATATTCTTAATTGAAACTCAATAAAATCAAGAGACAATGTTAGTTTGTGGTAATCTTCACAACCAAAATTGGTAAGAAACTATGAGAGAAAGGAAATGAATATGCGATGAAAGTAGGGGATAAAGAAAAATGTGAGAAGTATGTGATGAAAATAAGGACGGGAAAAGGAAAAAAATGTACAGAAAAAATGACAGAAAATGTATGGACATAAATATGAATGTGGAAAGAAGGAAAGTGGAAACAAAGAATTTAGAAAAGGTACTACCTTGAGAGCATTTTAAGAAAGTGAGTACCTTGTAAGAAAATAACTCAAATTAAGCAAATAGTTTGAAAAAGGAAACAAACGAAAGAAGAAAACTTGAAGAAAAAGAATAGAAAAATAAGATAAAAAGAAAAGAAAATCAAAATAAGAAACTAGATAAAAGAAAGGAAAGTAGAAATAGGGTTTAGGCTAAAATAAAATCAGCTACAGATGAGTGCCCAAGTGGTTAAATTGAAGAATGATATCATGCTTTCAAGAATCCTCACATAAAATAGAGCCTACAAGGAGTGTTTCCACTGAATTCTCCTATAGTAACGTGATTTATCTTCTACAGGGCTCAAATAGGCTAAAATAAAAGCGACTCCTGATGAGCACCCAAAAGGTTCAATTTAGTAATGATATCTTGCTTTTTGGAATCCTCATGCAAAATCTAGCCAAACAGGAGTGTTTCCACAGAATTCCAAGATAATGATGACATTTATCTTCTGTAGGCCTCAAACGCGCTAAAATTAAATAAGCTTCTCATGAGTCCCAAATGGTTCAATTTTAGGGATGATATCTTGTTTTATGGAATCCTCTTGCAAAATTGAGCATAACAGGAGTATTTCTCCCGAATTCTGAGACGGTGACGAGATTTTTCTTCTGTAGGTCTCAAACTGGTTCAAATCAAATCAACCAGAGATGAGTGCTTAAACAGTTTAATTTAGGAATGATTTCTTGCATTATAGAATCCTCATTCAAAATCTAGCCAACCAGGAATGTTTCTACCGAATTTCAAGAATAGTGACAAGATTTTTCTTTTGTAGGGCTCAAATAGGTTAAAATCAAATCAGTTTCGGCTGAGCATCCAAATGAACAAATTTAGGAATGATATCTGGCTTTCTAGTGTCCATATACAAAATCAACCCTAACGCAAGCGTTTCTATCAAATTCTGAGATAGTGACGAGATTTTTCTTCTCTTAACCTCAAACAGGCTAAAATAAAATTGGCTACAGATGAGCGCCCATGTGGTTCAATTAAAGAATAATATCCTGGTTTTGGGAATCCTCATGGAAAATAGAGTCTAACAAGAGTGCTTCCACTAAATTTTGAGATAGTGATGAGATTTATCTTCTATAGGGCTCAAACAGGCTAAAATAAAATCAGCTTCTCATGAGTACCCAAATGGTTCAATTCTAGGGATGATATCTTGCTTTTGGAATCCTCATGCAAAATTGAGCCTAATGGGAGTGTTTCCGCTGAATTTTGTGATATGGACAAGATTTTTCTTCCGGTCTCAAACTGGTTCAAATCAAATCATCCAGAGATGAGCGCTCAAATGGTTTAATTTAGGAATGATATCTTGTATTCAAGAATCCTCATTCAAAATCAAGCCAAATGGGAGTGTTTCCACCAAATTTCAAGATCATGACAAGATTTTTCTTCTATAGGGATCAAACAGGGTAAAATCAAATCGGCTTTGGTTGAGCGCACAAATGAACGAATTTAGGAAAGATATCTAGCTTTCTCGAATCCATATACAATATCCATCCTAATGATGCGATACAGCAAGCTAACTCCTCAACTTCCAATGATCCATTGCAAATCCCAACTGGACCAATCACAAGAGCAAGAGCTAAAAGAATTAAGGAAGCTTTGAGTGGGCTAGTGCAAGACACCTTGACAAAGCAAATGGCATTTATTGGAGTATCAAATCTGGATAAAAATGCTGAGGATGTCACTAATGTCATTTGGGCTGAAAATGGAGCTACTGATCATATCTTGGGCTTGGAGACTTCAATTTAAGGAGCTTGGATCAAGTACAACACATGAGAAGACTCATTTGGGCCTAATTAATCATATTTTGGGCTTGATATGCTGATTATATTTCATTAAATGCATTTGTGCGAAAATTCATAATTAGTTGGCAGATTTGACTTTTGAATTTCCAAGTTACCTAAATCAAGTCCTTATGAATTTATTATGTTTTGATTTTCTAGATTGCATTTAATGCTTTTTAGGTCAGATCTTGAATGTATCCTCTATAAGATATTGTAACCCTCATTTTGGGAGGAGATTTGGAATTTTGAATGAAAACTTGCATTTTGCAATTTCTGATTGAGAGGAGTTCTTTCTAGGGTTCTTCATTGAACTAACAGACTTATCAAGGCTTGATCAATCTTGTGGCGTCTTTCAACACTTCGGGTCCTTGTTCTTCTGTGTTCAAGGGTTCAAGTAGATCACCAGACCTTTGTTTACGTTCTTGGGGTGCGTATATTCAGATCGGTTGTGGGTTCGTGGGATTTTTCCTTGTGGGTTCTCACCATCTTGGTATCAGAGCTTTGGATCTAAACTCAGGTCATATTTTTCTGTTAGTTTACCTTCATTTTCGTTCTTCATTTGGTGCCTTTTCTTGTGTCTGTTCGTCTTCTGCGTTTCTGTTCATCACCGAAATTGTCATCCTTGTCCATTCACTTTTCTGTTGAGTTTTGTGAAGTTTAATAGGTCATTTTCATATTTCGGAATCCCTTCTTTCGTCTCGTTTTGGTTTCATCTTAATCCGACTTTTGTAGGGCAAGTTATACCCATTTGAAAAGGACGCGTTTTCTGGAATTTCTGGGTTCAGATTGCTTGTTCTGTTTTGTTATAGTATTTTTGTGATTTTCCTTGCATTATTCAGTGAAAAAAAAAAAGAAAAGAAAAGGGAAAAGACAAGGAAAAAAAAAAAAGGTACCCAAAAGAAAGGGACAGAAAAAAAAAAACGAAAAGAAATTATAGTGCTGGCAGTGTTTTGAGCAAATCATCTTCATATCCAAATTCTATTTTGGCTTTTGCAATACTTGTGTCAATTGAGTTTCTGACTTTTCTTGAAGGTCCATATTCAATACTCTTAATTTCTCAAAGTTCCTAAGTGTTGGCTGATTCTGCATATTGTGATTGCTTTGTTTAAATTGTTTAGTTCTTTAAAGAGCCTCAAGAGGGATTTCAGAGTGGAAAAAGGCAAGAGTGATATACCTCAATTTAAAAGCCAAGTTTGAGTGAAACACGAGTGTTGAGTGTCATTCTTGAGGGAAACACGTGAGGAAATTTGTGAGGAACTTTACTTCACTAACATAATTAATTTTCCTTGAAGTCACAATGTCTAATGCAGATGGGACATCTGGTGGTAGTGGAAATCCAATGAATATTGAAGACACCCTTAGGGCAATGCAGCAACATTTTCAACGGATGAATGTGGTTTATGGAGAGATAAGGGATAGAATGGATAGACAAGATGAAAGGATTGTAAATCTGCAAAGAGCCCAACCTAAACCTAGAAGGCATGGAAGGCAAAGGGAGGTTTCTATGGATGACTTTGAATCTGAAAATAACAAAGTTGGTGGTAGTGAGGATGAAGTCAATTCTGAATCTGAAGTTGAACTGATAAGGAATAGGCATAGAGGGGATAGGTATGGGAGAAGATATGGGAGAAATAACCCAAGGGAGAGAGATAGAGTAGATGGGAACCTTGGGAGCATCAAAATGAAGATACCATCATTCCAAGGTAGAAATGATCCTGAAGCCTACTTAGAGTGGGAAAAGAAAATAGAAATGATCTTTGAGTGTCATAATTATTCTGAAGCTAAAAAGGTGAAGTTGGCAGCAATAGAATTCACTGATTATGCCATTGTTTGGTGGGATAAATTGGGTATTAATAGGAGGAATAATGGAGAGAGGCCTGTAACAACTTGGAGCGAAATGAAAGCTCTAATGAAGAAGAGATTTGTTCCCAACCATTATTTTAGAGAGCTTTATCAAAAGTTGCAGACCCTTACACAAGGTCCTAGGAGTGTAGAGGAGTACAATAAGGAGATGGAATTGGCCATGATAAGAGCTAATGTGCAAGAAGATAGAGAAGCAACAATGGCCCGATTTCTAAGTGGGTTGAACAAAGATATAGCTGATATAGTTGAATTGCATCATTATGTAGAACTAGAAGACATGGTGCATATGGCTATTAAGGTGGAAAAGCAACTCAAGCGAAAAGGTGCTTCAAAATTTCATTCTGGATCAACTTCTTCTTTCAAACAGAATTGGAAGAAAGGAGAAAAAGCTATCCAAAAGGAGACCACTAGAGGCAAAGAAGAAGCTTCATCAAAGAGCAAAGGTAAATCTGATTCCCAAACTTCTAGAAATAGGGATATAAAATGTTTCAAGTGTTTGGGTACAGGTCATATTGCTTCTCAATGCCCCAACAAGAGAGTTATGATTCTGAAAAATAATGAAGTTGTGACTGAAAGTGAGAGTGAAAGTGATGACTCCATGCCCCTACTTGAAGATGCTAGTGATGATGGGATTGAGTATGCTGTGGAAGGAGAATGCCTTGTGGTTAGAAGAGCCTTGAATTGTCAAGTGAAGGAAGATGAGTTGAATGAGCAAAGGGAAAATATTTTCCATACTCGCTGCCTCATTAATAACAAGGTATGTAGTTTGATAATTGATGGTGGGAGTGTTACAAATGTTGCAAGCACTACAATGGTTGAGAAATTACATTTGCCCACTGTTAGACACCCTAGACCATACAAGCTGCAATGGCTGAATGAATGTGGGGAGATTAAAGTTGATAAGCAAGTTCTTGTTTCTTTTTCAATTGGGAAGTATTGTGATGAAGTATTATGTGATGTTGTTCCTATGCATGCTGGACATATACTTTTGGGAAGACCTTGGGAATTTGATAGAAAGGTAAAGAAAGATGGGCTTACAAATAGATATTCTTTTGTAATGAACAACAGACCCATTACTCTTGTACCATTGACCCCAAAGCAAGTGTATGAGGATCAACTTAAGATGAAAAAAGAGAGAGATAAAAAAGAGAGTGATATGAAAAATGTGAGAGAGACATCAAAAAGAAATGGGAGTGAAAAGGAGAGAAAAGATGAGAGTTCAAAAAAAGAATTTCAGAAAAAAAATGAAGAGAGAAAAGAGAAAAGAAATTGAGTTTTTATGCAAAAGAAAGTGAAGTGAGGAATGCCTTTTTGGCTGAACAACATTTGCTTCTCCTTGTTTACAAGGAATCCTTTTTGGATACTAATGACATTAACTCTTCCTTTCCAAGTGTTGTTAGTTCTTTATTGCAGGAATATGTTGATGTGTTCCCAGAGGAGATTCCACCTGGATTACCACCCATTAGAGGAATTGAGCATCAAATTGATTTCATTCCAGGAGCAACAATTCCTAATAGGCCAGCCTATAGAAGCAATCCAGAAGAGACAAAGGAACTTCAAAGGCAAGTGGAAGAGCTCATGGCAAGGGGATATGTTAGAGAAAGCTTGAGTCCTTGTGCTGTTCCGGTACTTTTGGTCCCAAAGAAAGATGGAACTTGGAGGATGTGCATTGATTGCAGAGCTGTGAATAACATCACTATAAAGTATCGCCATCCCATTCCTAGATTAGATGATATGCTTGATGAATTGCATGGTTCTATTGTCTTTTCTAAGATTGATTTGAAATCTGGATACCATCAAATTAGAATGAGGGAAGGGGATGAATGGAAAACTGCTTTCAAAACAAAACATGGTTTGTATGAATGGTTAGTTATGCCATTTGGGTTAACTAATGCACCTAGTACTTTCATGAGATTAATGAATCATGTTTTGCGTGCTTTCATTGGGAAATTTGTTGTGGTTTATTTTGATGACATTCTGATTTACAGCAAGAATCTTGATGAGCATTTGAATCATTTGCATTGTGTGCTTGATGTTTTGAGAAAGGAAAAATTGTTTGCAAATATGAAGAAGTGTGATTTTTGTATGGATAAAATTGTTTTTCTTGGCTTTGTGGTGAGTGCTAAAGGAATAGAAGTTGATGAAGAAAAGATAAGAGCTATTAAAGAATGGCCAACACCTAAAAGCATAACTGAGGTGAGAAGCTTTCATGGTTTGGCTAGTTTTTATAGGCGCTTTGTCAAAGATTTTAGCACACTTGCTGCACCACTCACTGAAGTTATTAAAAAGTCTGTTGGTTTTAAATGGGATAAAGAACAAGATGTTGCATTCATTAGGCTTAAGGATAAATTGTGTTCTGCACCTGTATTAGTATTGCCTAACTTTAACAAAACTTTTGAGATTGAATGTGATGCATCTGGAGTTGGAATAGGAGCTGTTTTGATGCAGGAAGGAAAGCCAATTGCTTATTTTAGTGAAAAGTTGAATGGAGCAGCCTTGAAGTATCCAACATATGACAAGGAGCTCTATGCACTTAAAAGAGCATTAGAGAATTGGCAACACTACCTTTGGCCTAAACAATTTGTAATTCATACTGATCATCAATCTTTGAAGCACATTAAGGGTCAAGGTAAGCTGAACAAGAGACATGCAAGGTGGCTGGAATTTATTGAGACATTTCCGTATGTCATCAGATACAAGAAAGGTAAAGAAAATGTGGTGGCTGATGCATTGTCAAGAAGGTATACTCTTCTTACTACTCTAAATGCTAGGTTGCTTGGTTTTGAATATATCAAGGAATTGTATGCCATTGATGCTGATTTTGCTGAAGTGTTTCTTGCTTGTGAAAAGAAAGCATTTGAAAAGTTTTATAGGATTGATGGGTACTTGTTTAAAGAAAACAGATTGTGTGTGCCTCAATGTTCTTTGCGAGAATTACTTGTGAGAGAAGCACATGGGGGAGGATTAATGGGTCACTTTGGTGTGAAAAAGACTTTGGATGTTTTGCATGAACATTTCTTTTGGCCTAAAATGAAACGTGATGTGGAAAGAATCTGTGCTAAATGCATAACTTGTAAAAAGGCTAAATCTAGAGTCTTGCCACATGGTTTGTACACCCCATTACCTGTGCCTAGTGAACCTTGGGTAGATATATCAATGGATTTTATTTTGGGTTTACCTAGGTCAAGAAAGGGTATGGATTCCATATTTGTGGTTGTCGATAGATTTTCTAAAATGGCACATTTCATTGCTTGCCATAAAACTGATGATGCCACATACATTGCTGATTTGTTCTTTAAGGAAATTGTAAGACTTCATGGTGTTCCTAAAAGTATTGTTTCTGATAGGGATACAAAATTCTTGAGTCATTTTTGGAGGATTTTGTGGGGTAAGCTGGGTACTAAATTATTGTTTTCTACTGCTTGTCATCCACAAACTGATGGACAAACTGAGGTAGTTAATAGAACTTTAACTCAATTGCTTAGAACTGTGATTCAAAAGAACTTGAAGAATTGGGAAAATTGCTTGTCATTCATTGAATTTGCTTACAATAGGAGTGTGCACTCATCTACTGATTATTCTCCTTTTGAAATAGTGTATGGTTTTAATCCACTAACTCCTTTGGATTTATTACCATTGCCTATTGATGAGAGGGCCAGTCTTGATGGGACAAAAAAAGCTGAAACAGTGAAACAACTTCATCAAAAAGTGAAACAACAAATTGAAAAGAAAAATGAGCAATATGCATCCAAGGCTAACAAAGGAAGAAGGCGTGTTCTCTTTGAACCTGGTGATTGGGTGTGGGTGCATATGAGGAAAGAAAGATTTCCAGCTCAAAGAAAGTCCAAATTAGCTCCAAGAGGAGATGGTCCATTTCAAGTGCTTGAAAGAATCAATGACAATGCTTACAAAATTGATTTACTTGGTAAGTATAATGTTAGTGCTACTTTCAATGTGGCTGATTTATCTCCTTTTGATGCAGGTGATGATTCGAGGTCGAATCCTTTTGAGGAGAGGGGGAATGATGCGATACAGCAAGCTAACTCCTCAACTTCCAATGATCCATTGCAAATCCCAACTGGACCAATCACAAGAGCAAGAGCTAAAAGAATTAAGGAAGCTTTGAGTGGGCTAGTGCAAGACACCTTGACAAAGCAAATGGCATTTATTGGAGTATCAAATCTGGATAAAAATGCTGAGGATGTCACTAATGTCATTTGGGCTGAAAATGGAGCTACTGATCATATCTTGGGCTTGGAGACTTCAATTTAAGGAGCTTGGATCAAGTACAACACATGAGAAGACTCATTTGGGCCTAATTAATCATATTTTGGGCTTGATATGCTGATTATATTTCATTAAATGCATTTGTGCGAAAATTCATAATTAGTTGGCAGATTTGACTTTTGAATTTCCAAGTTACCTAAATCAAGTCCTTATGAATTTATTATGTTTTGATTTTCTAGATTGCATTTAATGCTTTTTAGGTCAGATCTTGAATGTATCCTCTATAAGATATTGTAACCCTCATTTTGGGAGGAGATTTGGAATTTTGAATGAAAACTTGCATTTTGCAATTTCTGATTGAGAGGAGTTCTTTCTAGGGTTCTTCATTGAACTAACAGACTTATCAAGGCTTGATCAATCTTGTGGCGTCTTTCAACACTTCGGGTCCTTGTTCTTCTGTGTTCAAGGGTTCAAGTAGATCACCAGACCTTTGTTTACGTTCTTGGGGTGCGTATATTCAGATCGGTTGTGGGTTCGTGGGATTTTTCCTTGTGGGTTCTCACCACCTAAGGTGAGTGTTTATACTGAATTCTAAGATAGTGATGAGATTTTTCTTCTTTAAACCTCAAACAGGCTAAAATAAAATTGGCTATGGATGAGCACCCAAGTGGTTCAATTGAGGAATGATAACTTAATTTTGGGAATCCTCACATAATATAGTGCCTAACGGGAGTGGTTCTACTAAATTATGAGATAGTGACGAGATTTATCATGTGTAGGCCTGAAACAGGCTAAAATCAAATCGGCTTCTGATGAGCACCTAAGTGGTTTAATTTAATAATGATACCTTACTTTCTGGAACCCTCATGCAAAATCTAGCCTAAAGGGAGCGTTTCTACTGAATTCTGAGAAAATCATGGGACTTTTCTTCTGTAGGTCTCAAACTGGTTCAGACCAAGTTAGCTTCAGATGAGTGCCCAAACGGTTTAATTTAGGAATGATATCTTGTATTCTAGATCCTCTTTCATAATCAAGCAAAGCGGAAGGGTAACCTCTGAATTTTGAGATAGTGACAAGATTTTTCTTCTATAGGGTTCAAAACAGGATAAAATCAAATCACCATTAGCTAAGCACCCAAATGAATGAATTTAGGAATGATATCTGGCTTTCTATCCATATACAAAATCCACCCTATCCATCTTTTCTCTATGCCTCAAAAGGGCTAAAATAAAATTAGCTATGCATGAGTGCCTAAGTAGTTCAATTAAGTAATGATATCTTGCTTTCGGGAATCCCTATGCAAAGTCTAGCCTAACGGGAGTGTTTCCATCAATTTTTAAGATAGTGACGAGATTTATCTTCTGCAGGCTTCAAACATGCTAAAATCAAATCGGCTTCTCATGAGCACCCAAATGGTCCAATTTTAGGGATGATATCTTGCTTTCTAGAATCCCCATATAAAATTAAGGCTAACGGGAGTGTTTCCACCGACTTCTGAGATCGTGACAAGATTTCTTTTCTATAGGTCTCAAACTAGTTCAAATCAAATCAGCCTCAGATGAACACCCAAACAGTTTAATTTAGGAATGATATCTTGCATTGTAGAATCCCCATTCAAAATTAAGCAAAACGGGAGTGTTTTTACCAAATTTCTAGATCATGACAAGACTTTTCTTCTGTAGGCCTCCAACAGGCTAAAATCAAATTGGCTTTTGCTGAGCACCCAAATAAATGAATTTAGGAAAGATGTCTGGCTTTCTAGAATCCATATATAAAACGGATCCTAACACAAGAGTTTCTATTGTATTCTGAGATAGTAAGGAGATTTTTCTTTAAACCACAAACAGGCTGAAATAAAATCAGCTACAGATGAGTGCTCAAGTAGTTCAATTGAGGAATGGTATCTTGCTTTTGGGAATCCTTAGGTAAAATAGAGCCTAATAGGAGTGTTTCCACTGAATTCTAAGATTGTCATGAGAATTATGATCTGTAGCCCACAAACAGGCTAAAATCAAATCAGCTTTTGATGAGTGCCCAAATGATTCAATTTAGGAATAATATCTTGTAGCCTAGAATCCTCATTCAAAATCAAGCCAAACAGGAGCATTTCCATCGAATTCTAAGAAATTGATAGGATTTTTCCTCTGTAGGTCTCAAACGGATTCAAATCAAATCAGCCTCAGATGAGCGCACGAACGGTTTAATTTAGGAATGATATCTCACATTCTTGAATTCTCTTTCAAAATCAAGCCAAACGAGAGTGTTTCAACTGAATTTCGAGATATGACAAGATTTTTCTTCTATAGGCCTCGAACGGGCTAAAATAAAATCAGCTTCGGCTGAGCGTCCAAATGAACGAATTTAGCAAAGATATCTGGCTTTCTAGAATCCATATACAAAATTGATCCTAACAGGAGTGTTTCTATGAATTCTGTGATAGTGACGAGATTTTTCTTCTTTAGGTCTCAAACTGGTTCAAATAAAATGAGCCTGGGATGAGCGCCCAAATGGTTTAATTTAGGAATGATATCTTGCATTCTAGAATCCTCATTCAAAATTAAGTAAAATGGGAGTGTTTCTAATGAATTTCTAGATCACGACAACATTTTTCCTCAGTAGGCCTCTAATAGGCTAAAATCAAATCGACTTTAGCTGAGCGCCCAAATGAACGAATTTAGGAAGGATGTCTAGTTTTCTAGAATCCATATACAAAATCGATCCTAACACAAGAGTAGAACTCAATCTAAGCTATTGGATTGTAGAGGGAGTTTCACATTCATCTATTCTTTTCAAGTACTACCCGTTTTGTCTCTGGTTGCAACGATTGTATTGGACGTCGTCCATGGCAGAGCTGTAATCTGAGTTTAAGAAAGAGGAGGTCCCTATCATGTGTGGCTAATTCTGTAAATTCTTCTAAGAGTACAACCAAATCTGAGCTATTGGATTGTAGAGGGAGTTTCACATTCATCTATTCTTTTCAATTCTTATTTGCTATACAAGTTGTAGAGTAATTAGAAGAAGAATTCAGTTGTATTCTATTTTAGACACTGAGATGAATGTTGAGTGATTGAATGCTGTAGAAGACTTGGTATTTCACTTATGAATTTAGAAGTTGATCAGATCCTTATTTCAATTCAGTTATTTGAATATTGTGGTTTGATTAATTGATTCACACAAATAGAAGTTCTGTTTGGTTAAGAGTGTTTAGTCTATCTACACATTCAGTAATACTTAGCTCCAAATTAGATAATGCGATGAAGATAAAGTGAAACTCTTGGAAGGCTTAATATTCTGATTGTCTCTCTCTCTCTTTTACTACATTTTGTTATTGCATTTATAACTAAACAAAGAATTTTTCAGCATTAATCTGATAATCTGAAAACATTGTCCTATCTCGACATTCATAATTTGTACTAATTTTGCTTAGGAATTTAGAGAGTTATTAGACTAAGTGATTCGACACCTAGGTTGTATCATTGTACCGCATGCCTCTTCTCTAGTGTTTTTGATTGCCTATATGACTAAGGATAAATCAGCTTCTCATAAGTGCCCAAATGGTTTAATTTTAGGGATGATATCTTGCTTTCTGGAATCCCTATGCAAAACTGAGCCTAAAAGGAGTGTTTCCATCGAATTCTGAGATTTTTCTTCTGTAGGTCTCAAAGTAGTTCAAATCAAATCAACCTCAGATGAGCACCCAAATGGTTTAATTTAGGAATGATATCTTGCATTCTAGAATCCTCTATCAAAATCAAGCCAAATGGGAGTGTTTCCACCAAATTTTGAGATAGTAACAAGATTTTTTCTTCTGTAGACCTTGAACAGCTAAAATCAAATCGGCTTCGACTGAGAGCCCAAATAAAGAAATTTAGGAAAGATACCTGGCTTTCTAGAATTTATATACAAAATCGATCCTAACAGGAGTGTTTCTATCAAATTCTAAGATAGTGACGAGATTTTTCTTCTCTATGCCTCAAACAGGCTAAAATAAAATCGACTACGAACGAGCACAAGTGGTTCAACTTAGGAATGATATCCTCCTTTTAGGAATCCTCACATAAAATAGAGCCTAACAAGAGTGTTTCCACTGAATTCTGAGATAGTGACGAGATTTTATCTTCTGTAGGCCTCAAACAAGCTAAAATCAAATCGGTTTCTGAAAAGCGCCCAAGTGGTTCAATTGAGGAATGATGTCCTGCTTTTGGGAATCCTAATGTAAAATAGAGAGCCTAACAGTAGTGTTTCCACCAAATTCTGAGATAGTGATGAGATTTATCTTCTATAAGCCTCAAACAGGCTAAAATAAAATCAGCTTCTAATAAGCGTCCAAATGTTCAATTTAGTTAGTAATGATATCTTGCTTTCAGGAATCCTCACAGGAGTGTTTCCACCGAATTCTGAGATAGTGGTGTGATTTATCTTCTATTGGCCTCGAGCACGCTAAAATCAAATTGGCTTCTCATGAGCACCCAAATGGTTTAATTTTAGGGATGATATCTTGCTTTCTGGAATCCTCATGCAAAATTGAGCCTAAAAGGAGTGTTTCCACTGAATTCTGAGATTTTTCTTCTGCAGGTCTCAAACTGGTTCAAATCAAATCAACTTCGGATGAGCACCCAAATAGTTTAATTTAGGAATGATATCTTGCATTCTAGAATCCTCTTTCAAAATCAAGCCAAATGGGAGTGTTTCCACTGAATGTCGAGATAGTGACAAGATTTTTCTTCTGTAGGCCTCAAACAGGCTAAATCAAAAAGGCTTCGACTAAGCACCCAAATGAATGAATTTAGGAAAGATATCTAGGTTTCTATAATCCATATACAAAATCGATCCTAACGGGAGTTTCTCTCTCAAATTTTGATATAGTGATGAGATTTTTCTTCTCTATGCCTCAAACAGGCTAAAATAAAATCAGCTATGGATGAGCACTCAAATGGTTCAATTTAGGAATGATACCCTGCTTTCGGGAATCCTCATGTAAAATAGAGAGTAACAGGAGTGGTTCCACTGTAGTCTGAGATAACAACGGCATTTATCTTTTATAGGCCTCAAACATGCTAAAATCAAATCAGATTCTCATGAGTGCCCAAATTGTTCAATTTTAAGGGTGATATCTTGCTTTCGAGAATCCTCATGCAAAATCCAGCCTATCAAGAGTGTTTCTACCTAATTCTGAGATAATAACAAGATTTTTCATCTCTAAGCCTCAAAGATGCTAAAATAAAATCAGCTACAGACGAGCACCCAAGTGGTTCAATTTAGGAATGATATCTTGCTTTCAGGAATCCTCACGTAAAATAGAGCCTAACAAGAGTACATGTATTGAATTCTAAGATAGTGATGAGATTGATCTTCTGTAGGCCTCAAACAAGCTAAAATGAAATTGACTTCCGATGAGTGCCCAAAGGTTCAATTTAGTAATGATATCTTGCTTTTGGGAATCCTCATGCAAAATCTAGCCTAATGGGAGTGTTTCTACTGAATCCTGAGATAGTGACGAGATTTATCTTTTGTAGGTCTCAGGCACGCTTGATAAACCATATTTTACATGTGCTTAGAATGTATATTTTGGGCTATTTTAAGAAATAGACTGAGCATTAATTGCATTAATAACTAAATAAAAATATTGATGGAGTTATGATATTTTTAATAATTTTTCTTATGACATTCCACAATTGGAGATTACTTCTGGATTATTATTCTGGATATAGGGGCAGAATTGGAATTATGAAGCAGCAGAAATGCCTTCCTTTTTAGGAAGGAAAGAACAGTCTAGAGGAAAGGCAACTCTATCACTAATTGAAACCAGATTCCATCACTAACGGGAAAGGGGTTCCACCAAAAATGCAAATTCAGATTCAGGAATATCCATTTCCAGAAGCGAGAAACTAAAATTTGGTTCAAAAACTCTTTTAGTCCAACCAAGACCTAACAAAAATTGGTTGTAACAATTGGCACCCAAGTCTAGATGAGGACTGGAGGAACAAACCAAAGGGAGGGGAGATAGAAGAAGTTCTTCAAGGAATATAAAATGGAAAAAGGAAGACAAGTCAGAGGAGGATTTAGTACGGATTGAGATTTTCGTGGAGAGCTCTTATTTCCTAGTTCTGTTTCGTCTCTGTCTTCTCAAGTACTACCCATTCTGTCTCTAGTTGCAACCATCGTATTGGATGTCATCCATGGCAGAGCTGCAATCTGAGTTTAAAAAAGAGGAGGTCCCTATCATGTGTGGCTAATTCTATAAATTCTTCCAAGAGTATAACCAAATCTGAGCTATTGGATTGTAGAGGGAGTTTCACATTCATCTATTCTTTTCAATTCTTATTTGCTATACGAGTTGTAGAGTAATTAGAAGAAGAATTCAGTTGTATTATGTTTTAGACATTGAGATGAATGTTGTGTGATTGAAAGTTATAGAAGACTTGGTATTTCACTTGTGAATTTAGAAGTTGATCAGATCCTTATTTCAATTTAGTGATTTGATTAATTGATTCACACAAATAGAAGTTATGTTTGGTAAGAGTGTTTAGTCTATTTGCACATTCAGTAATACTTTAGCTCTATATTAGATAATGTAATGAAGATGAAGTGAAACTCTTGGAAGGATTAATATTCTGATTGTCTCTCTCACTCTTTTCTTTACTACGTTTGTTATTGCATTTATAACTCAAACAAAGAATTTTTCTGCATTAATATGAAAACATTGTCTTATCTTTGCATAAGTAATTTGTACTAATTTTGCTTAGGAATTTAAAGAGTTATTAGACTAAGTGATTCGACACCTAGGTTGCATTATTGTACTGCATGCCTCTGCTCTAATGTTTTTGATTGCCTATACGACTAAGGATAAATCAATTATAAAATCAAATCAGCTTCTTATTAGCGTCCAAATGGTTTAAT